CTGAAATTTGTGCTGATAATGTCATTCAGAAGAACGATGAAAGCTCCATCCAGCTCAGAGAGCAACACTCCATAAGATTATTGTACACCAACTCAGATATCATAAAAAAAGCATACCGATTGCATGATTTAAAATCCCCTTGATTCGATTATGTTTAGTGATGTACAGATAATTAGAAACTAAAATAAACCAACTATCCAATATTCGATGTTTTTCCATAGCACTTCAGATGAAGTGAACAATAATAAAAAAGAAAGCCGAAATTAATTAATACCTACACATTATGTAATAAATACTTTTAAAATCTATTAGTAATATTTAAATACTACTGAGTAAACTAAAATTAGTATCCATATTAAACTGAACAAATGAAACGAAACCAATAATTACAGTATTACAATATAATGATTTATGTATGTTTTAAAGCAAATAAAAATCAAAACAAAATAAACGAATAAACATTCAAGTTAGTTCATTTAAAGCAATAGAAATGACTTTTTGAAATACAAATAAACAGTTCATTTGATGTTGTTTTACCTGTATCTTCCCATTATTATTTAGAACTGTAATTGATCAGTCTCATGTTGGCATATATGTATCCTGTACGGATTGTCTCGATATAGCCTTAAGTTACAAATAAACAGTTATTAAACTAATTAAAAGTTGGTATTGTTTGTAAATAAACAAACAAACAAACAGGAAATACAGATTCAATAAAATCTACACTACATAGAATAAATCTTTATTATATAAAATAATGAAAATATCACAAAAGTACATAGTTGGTCATTTATAATATATATATTTCTTGTTACAATTAAGATAGAATAATGTAGATAGGAAACAATAGTCTGAATGATTAAACTTACAATTTAATATTTTACATGTTTTATTTTATTTATTTAATAAAATATTTAAGAAAATGAGATTAATTTTGAAATGAATGGTAAACAACATTTAACTGTAAACTGAAATTTAAAAAAAGTTTTTTTAAAAATGTTTGTTTACTATTCTCTGTGTTTCTTATTAAATGTATAAGATTAATGGATGAAATAGAAACTACTAATTCATAAATAAGGATAACATACAAAGTTAGGGAATTTTATGAAGGATACTTAGGAATAATCGAAGAAACAATTATATATATATATATATATATATATATATATATATAGAGAGAGAGAGAGAGAGAGAGAGAGATAGCGTTAGACAATGGCATAAAGAATTGTGAAGAAAAACATGTTTTCATTAAACTCTCAATAATTAATAGAACGAAACCGCCATTCAGTGCTTCCAGGTTTCGAACGGTGGTCTAACATCAGTCGATTCGTGATCTCAATCAAAAACTTAATAATCTCCACAACCTCAATAATGATAATTAACATGTGCTCACCAGTGACTAGCTTCGTGAGGGAATTCTCGGAATTCTAGTGAGAAGCCGTGACCAGTGGAGCTAATCCGTGTCGGGTAGAGACAGGTATCTACCTCAGTACAATGGAAAATGGTCGGGCAATTTTGTGAATTGGTTGATGTTAGACACTAACACCATTGGATGCCGGCTCAGTGGTCGAGTAGGTTAAGCGTTCGCGCGCGAGACTGAAGGTCCTGGGTTCGAATACCTCGAGCGGGATCGTGGATGCGCACTGCTGAGGAGTCCCATACTAGGACGAAACGGCCGTCCAGTGTTTCCAGGTTTCCAAGGGTGGTCTAACATCAGTCGATTCATGATCTAAATCAAAAGCTTAATAATCTCCACAACCCCAATAATGAGAATTTTAGTTGCATATGAGACATTTTGAATATAATAAGATTACAGAGAATTCTCTTCTTATCAAGTATAATACAAATTCGGTGTACATTTTATCATTATTTTTACATTCTTCATACCTTTTTGCGCATCAAATTTAGTACAATAGATTATTCATTAATTTGTACTGTTATAAAATTAAAGGTAGTCGATAGGGAACCCTGGACTTGGATTTCATATAAGTTGGGAATCCATAGCAAATTGCATCAATAATCTTGAGATAATCGATACTCAATATAGGATTAAAACCTATCTCATCAAATTTCATAATCTGAGACATTACTAATGAGCTATACTGCAGCAACTATCCGTTTGAACGACTAAGATATGACTTATGTTGCCTTTATATAGTAATTTATTGCTGGTTGAATTTTGTCGACGCGATATCTTACTGTTGCATAACTGAGACCAGTGGCAATAATGTAACTTAATCGATAAAATTCAGTCAGCCCCGAAAGATTGGACAAAATTGACATTAGCCAGTGCTTAGTAATAAATCATTGGCAACAATTCTATGAAAATGTGATTTACTAGAGATTATATTTAATAGCGAAAAGAGTATATGGTTCTTCTTAATTGTTTGAAAGTATTCAATGTGCTAAATTTCAAATGAAACGTTGCAGAAAGTTATTTTCATCCATTTTATGTCTAAGTAATATATTTTTTTAGTTCTAAAAAATTAAAATAAATATTTATTACACGTTTAAAATATTAAAATAAATGCAGAATTATTAAATAGTTAGACTCTATACATAGTTACGCCTCTTACCCATTGTGGAGCATCGGCCACTAACCAGTAATCACCAACTTACACTATCCTAGTCTCTATTTTATAGTTGTTTCCTAGTGCTATTCATTCCTTTGCTATTTGTCTCCAATTTTTATCACGGTGTGTTCTTTGGTTTCCCGGTTTTTCATTCATCATGACGATCCCAAGTCAAGAGTTGTTTCGTGATGCAATTTAATGATTTTTGCAAAGTATGTCCTATTCACCCTCAGCATTCGATCCCGATTTCCTCTTCAGACGGAACCTAGTTTGTTCTCTGACATATCGTTGAGAGTAATTTCGAATTTGTTTAGTTTTTTAATATCTTGAGGGTAGACTGTATCATAATTTCAAAGTGTAGCCTGACCAGTGTTTCAGTACTTCTTTCTTCGGGCCATAACCAGGTGGTGATCAGAAGCTATGCCAGCTCCTTTACTAGTTTTCACGCCTTCTAAGGGGTTCCTGAACGTAATATTGGTTCAGATGAGATCAATCCGATTTTCTGTGATGTGAGCCAATGAAACTAGTGCAGCTTTTTGTATTCGTTTTTGGAAGAATATAGCACCACCTGTAATTATTTTGTTGGAGGCACATAAATCTGGAAATCTCTCTCGCGCTTAAGTCCCTTTCATCCATTCCATTTCGTCTCATGATATATTCATTCTCGGTCAAGTCCTTTCCTGGATACTTCGCTATGATCGGTCGCAGCTTCTCGTAAACTGATCATCATATCCACTGCTATCTCTAGGGAGTGCATAGCACCAAGTAACATCCTTTGTAGCGCTATGTTTCTTTGTTTTGAAGGATATTTGATGTTCCTGAATCCATAGGATTCACATCCTGTTGATGCGTTTCGTGATTCTTCGAACACTGTCAATACAAATCCCGGTGTTTGTGTTTTATCTTCTTCTTTGTAGACACAGTACAACAACATCTCATCCAAATCTAGTATTTTCGTTCCGGTTTGAGTGAAATGGGTTTCATTTGTTATGATAATCACCAGGTTGTATCTTCTCGTTTCTTCAGCTATATGACTGGTTGTGTCGGTGTCCCACATTGTCCAGACATTCCACGTTCCTATGATAGTTGTTGTTCTGGTTGTTAGAGGAGATATCGTCCTCATGACTTGTGAAGAATTTCGGCCTTCACATCGAGGCGTTACAACTCTCCTAAATAAAGATCCAGTAACTACCAAGGTTCGTTTAAATTTTTTTTCGGTTGTTTCCTTCGGGATGGGGTTGCTGAACCTATGCTCAACCTTTCTCATTTATCCGGGCTTGTAGATCGGCAGTAACTGTAGAATGTCGCCGGACGGAGTTAAAACTGTATATGCTACCGATTTATTAAGATTAATATGTTGAAGAAAACATGAAAAATCCAGCCAAATGATTGCTGTTTACTTCTGATCAGCAGCAATTTTATTTTAAAATGTTACCTATTATAAGCCAAACATTTATTACAAATTAAATAAATCTAATTCTTTCTTAACAGTCGTAACTGTTTGCCAATCAACTACTTAGAATGATAGACTGTAATAAAAAACCTTGAAAAATTACCAGTCTACACTAATTTACAATGATGTAAATATAGCATGTACCTGTTTTCTGCAAAAAATGTTAATCTCAAGATTACTTAACATTTCTGAAAATTAATTATTATAAAAAGGCATTTATAATTACTAGTCATTAGATTAACAACAGTTACCAACACTACTGAAATTATTAACCAGCCTATTATATATTTAAGCTCTTGTCTGTAAACACATATCTGTTTAGTAGATATGTGTATGTGTGTGTTCAAGGATGGATGTTATAGAGTTCAGTCATTTTGAGTTAGCAAATCGAATTTTAGCAAATAAACGTCATGTTTTTTCCCTATTTCTTACCGTTTTGTTTTATTCTTAGTTTCTGCAATCACTATAACTAACCCTAACCTTTCTGTCCATTTTGTTTGTTACTTTGACTATCACAATAATAATAATAATAACAATACTACTACTACTACTAATAATAATAATAATAATAATAATACAAAAACTACTTCTATTACGAAAACTGTTGTTTTACAGAGATCAGATATTATTTGGGGTTTGGAAATTACTAGACTCATTATTCATAGTGAGAACGGAAGACACAGAGAGATAGAGAGAGACAGGAAGAGAGGAACAATGAAAACAACTCAATCCTTTAATAACAGTTCATATACACATATGTATATATACATATATGTGTACATATACGTGCATATATATATATATATATATATAAGTAGTTTCGTTTGACTAATTCATTTCTTATTTGTAATTAGTCTGCACAATTTAACCTATAGAACAGTAAAAAGAAACAAATTGCAGTATACTTAATTATAAATTAAAATTGAACAAGGACAATAACATTATCTCTTTATATTTCATATTAATTAAACATTATGAAAATATCTAAATACTATAATAATAATAATAATAATAAAATGATTATTGAACAATTATTTTATTGTCTACTTGTCTTAATCGCTTTCAGTAGTATCATCAATGCTGTAAGTTCTTATTGTCAATATGTTCAATGTTTTGAAGCATAAATTGATTTTTGTACAATAAATTATGAAAATCTATAATTTTTATTTAGTTAATCCCATTTAATATCACAGTAAATTGAAGCTGATATGTTAGTAATTAGCCAAATACTTAAAAATCAATAATTTACATTCATGTGTTACCAAAGTGTGTTAATTTTCATGCCATTAATTCTGATTGTAGGAATTTCTTTATAAAGTAGTCATGATATATTAACCATTTAACAAAGAGATATAAATTATATATCTCACTTGATAGTATGTGTTATAGTAATTCTAGTCATCTTCTAAAGATCGTATAACTAAATATTACATGTTAAACTAATCATTAGCTTTAGTTGTAAAGATAATTGTCATATCTCGTTAAACTGACTGACACTGGAAATACGGAATAATTAATTATGAATAATTGGTTAACTTGGATTGTACTTACTTCCAGAACTCAAATATTATAAACTTTACATGTTCCTATAGTCGTAAATGCGATACGAACCATGTGATTTTTTTTATTAAAAAATATTTAATTTACATGAAGGATTTAACATCATTTTAAATATTCTCTTTATATTGTATGTAATTAACATATCAATAGGTTCCCCGAAACTAGTTCTATTACATAAATTGTTGTATTTCTTAGTAGAATTGATTACATTTAAGAAAGAAATTATTGAAAAACAATCAGTTCACATGTATGGAATGATTGATACGAATAAAATAAGGAAAAATATCTTTATTGTAAAATAATTAGAAAAAAAAGTTAGAAACAAAACAGTAGCATATTTGTTCTTATGCTAGTTGAAACTTATTAAAGAAATAGGTATCAATACCAAGGTTTGATTTGATAATTTCGAATAAATGGAACATTAGGTAGATTATTATAAATAAAAATAATCTATTTTTATTATCCCAATGAATAGAAAAATTAAATTTTCTGACATTTCGCAACTTAGTGTAAACCACTTCTTCAGAGGTTAAATAACAAAATCAAAATTAATCCAAGTTTAAATAGTACATACGGAACAATACGAGAATATATTCTTGTTGAAGTGGCTTACAATAAGTTACGAAATGTCAGAAAATTTAATTTTTCTACTCATTGGGATAGTACAAATCTATTGATTTATTTATTAACGAAATGTATTTAAAATCACTTATTAATTATTTAGATCATTATAAGTCTCTACCAGATCTTATTCCATACTGTGATTAATGATATCACTATTGAGTTAGTCATCTTCCAAAATGATATTGTATACATTATTCATATTTAAATTGATTGGTTGGTTTTTGATATTTAATACTAAAAGTAAAGCATCAATATGCACGGTTATTGTTGTATAAATATTTTAAACAACAATAGTCAAGATCTTTCAATGGATAATTGCTAGTGAGATGGATTAACTTTGAACATAAAGATCTAGTATATGTGGTGATCTAGATCTTTCTTCTATGCTAATTAAATGATATAAGTTTGTAGACATTAACAAAATATTTTCATGGTGTCTGATTTAGATATACTTTTTTTCGAAAGAAATATGATTTCATCCATTTTAAATAAAATAATTTTAACATAAATTGAATAATAACCGTAATATTCTATGAATTGATTAGTTTCAATAATACAATAAGAAGACGAAGTTTATCAGAATGATTTAATATATTTGCGCAATACATTTCGAACAAACTGATCACCCATATACTTGTTAAGACCGAGTCATCAATTCTTGGAACCTGTTACCCAAAACAATGGTGTCTGCACTTTTAATTGACTAATTCAAGAGAAGACTGGACACTTACAGAAGCATACTAGAAAAGGAATAACATAGGTCGTAGGCCTTCTGTCCTTACTACACAAATCTGAATCTGACATTTTTATATAAGAATTAAAAAGTCAACCAGGCAGGTTAAAGGTAAACCGTGACAAAGATAAAAATAATAACAATAAAGTACACAAAAACAATGTGATTACCACTCTGAATAATTATTCAGTATTACCAGGGTAGGTTAAGTGTAAGGACAAGTTGTTTTTTAACGCATAAAGGGGGTTTGAGTTTCCGTATAGCCAAGACTTCAATATATCCTTGAAGGCTTTTATAGAACACTACAAATGCTGACTTGATGTCAACCTTATGATCAGTCTCAATCATTATACTTATAGTCCATTCTTCTATTTAGTTTAATTAGAAATTAAAATGTATTAACTACTTGTAAATTATGAATAATTGGTAATATATTTTGTCCCGATGAAATTTTCTTCTAGTCGTCAATTTATGATATTTTTATTAAGAATTGTATACTCTTTATACAATCTAATAATGAACTTCATTCTGTTCACTTGTTTATTAAAGAGGGAAAAAAGTAAATAAATCATTAATCAGAATAAAATAAACATATAGAGAATGTTTGTGGGTAAAAAAAGAAACAAAAAACGAAAACAATTAATCGATATAATTGGATATTAATTTCATTCTAATGATGATATATTCTCTCTTGTTTTCCACTTGATAAAGATACATAGACAAATCTGTTTTGAATTTACAGAAATAATAAATAATAAAAAAAATAAAAAAATGCACAGCAACAACAACATCAACATATTAATATTCATAAATACACAATTATAGTTGTAAGCAGATATAATTTGTTTGAAGAATATAGACACATTTATTTTATATTTGACCACAGTTATGAAGTAAGTTTAAGGTTTCGTACTACTTAGCAGCTCGAACCGTTGCATTTATGTGCCTGGTTCTACGTTGTAGATGACCGACTGACTGACTATTTATTATCACTAAAATATTTAGTTGACTTAATTTATTGGGGTTTATCTTTCACCTTCTAACTAGTTAATTTTATACAAGACTACATTTGTGTTTAGTTAAACAACAGCAAATATGATAACGATGTTAATTCATGTATTAACAACTATAATCGGAGAGGTTTTGTGGAGAATGTATTAATTTAATAATTGAATTCATGAGTGAATTGAAGCTAGACCGTCGTGAAAATCCTGGAAGCACTGGACGGCCGTTTCGTCTTACTGTACGACTCCTCAGTAGTGCGCATCCACGATACTGCCTCGTGAGATTCGAACCCAGTACCTATCGATCTCATGCGCGAATGCTTAACCTTTAAACCACTGAACAGGTCGGCATCGAATGGTGTTAATGTCTAACCCCAACTAATCAACGAAATCGCGCCACTGTCTACCACTTGTAGAATATTTGTAATTCTTTCAAAAAATTTTTAATCCGATTTCTTTCTATCAATCCTTGTTTGATCAGTATTAGTAAGTTTTTTTATATTAAACTAAAGTTTGATTATAGCTAAATATGAGGTAAAATGAATCGTCTAATAAGCTAACAAACTCTTGTTATAAAATGTCATCATTTCAAAAAATTCTATTGTTTAAACACTCAGTAAATAAGGATCGATTTAGTTTGAAAAATCTATTTTGTCATGAGCTGAAAAACAAAACATGTTGTTTATCAATCAATACCTTCAATAAACTTGACATATGACCTTAAATTGGTTATAGTATTCATTTGATTGATTAAAGTTTTTTAAGGATCTATTTCATTTTGCCTTTTTTCCTTATCATTGGAAAAAGCAACTTAAATTTATTTAATTAGTTTGAGATGAATGGTCAGAATATTTGTTTGAGATCTTGAACCGATTGATGTTGGACCACCATTGAAAACCTAGAAGTACTTGACAACAGTTTCGTCCTATTGTTGAACTCCTCAGCAGTGCGCATCCAAGATCCCGCTCGCGGAATTACAACCCAGGTTCTTCAGTCTCGCGCGCGAACGCTTAACCTACTTGACTGTTGAACCGGCATCTAACGAAACAACCGTCCAGTGCTTCCAGGTTTTCAATGATGGTCTAACATCAATCGGTTCAAGATCTCAATCAATAACATAATAATCTCCACAACCCTATGCAGAATATTTGTGTTGGATACGTTTTACTAAGGATCTGATAGATTTATAATCTGTGAGAAAATATCATGATAATGCTAACTAACTACATGGTGCTAAAGTGTGTTATTATCAATAAAATATAACCATAACTACTTGGTGCGTTAAGTATTATAGTGACGTATATATTCAGTTTAATCAAATCAGAGTTTGGGAACAGTTGAAAAATATTACAAACCTAACTTATATGTCGTACATCTGAGATACATGTATCAAATATTGTGTACTATCTGTAATAATTAACTTCGATTCTTTAAAATAATCAAACAGTATAAGTATTTAGAACTATGACTACGGAAATGCAGATTGACCCTTTATATAGTTTCATAATAATGAGTTTACAATTGAATAGTTCTTAGAATCCGTTGTTTGTGATACTTCATGACTTTTTGTTCGTCACGTTGATTGGAAGTAGAGAGATGGTCTACCAATCATTAGATATCTTTGTCTATATTAAACAGTTGTTAGGAGACAAACCATACTATAGGATATGCGCCGTCAACATAGGATATATATTAATTAATAAAGATTGGGAGTTAATCGTCCAAAATTGATCTTTTGGTTTAAATAAGAAAACGTCTGTTTTTCTTCACTTTTTTGAACTGTCTATTGTGTACACATATTATATTGCTGATGTCAGTTTGATTACAGTGACGTAATTTTCTTCAAAATGTATGCTTTGTAAAGTAAATGGCAATTGTGACCACGCTACAAAATATGTTCCTTTGAATATTTGTGAAAACCCTAGTTCACAGTAAAGTAAATATATTATGAATGGTAACACTTTTGAGATACTATAATATGTCTAACCGAAAATAGGTTGACAGCTTTAAAAATATTTAGATATCATTCATCAATCAAGTATCTATATCAATATTTCGATCACTAGACGATGCGTATTACCTAGTTTCCTTAAATCAATTGATAATCAAATTTTGAATGAAGAGTCAGATTAAAATCCTTGTGATACTTTATTTATTGCTTATCTACTTACTTACACCTGTTACCCCTCATGGAAGAGCATAGGAAGTTCAACAACATTTTCTATTCAACTCTGTCATGGGCGATTATTTCAAGTTCTTTCCAGTTGTTATTCATCCTTTTCACATCTGCTTCTAATTCTCAACGCAGTGTGTACTATGGCCTCTTTTCCTCTTTTCTGTTTCCCTTCGGGATTCCAAGTTAGCGCTTGCCTCGTGATGCAGTTTGGTGGTTTCCCCAGTGCATGTCCTATCCACTTCCAACGTCAATCCCTAAGTTGGTTTGCTCTCTCTTACAGTAGGCTGTTACTGATGGTATCCCGTTAACAGACATTTAGTATCTTACGAAGGCAAATGTTTATAAATACTTGTACCTATTTGATGATGGTTGTGATAGTTCTTGAAGTTTCAGATCCATACAGTAAATTTATCTTGACTTTTGTATTAAAGATCGTGACTTTGATATTGGTTGACAGTTGTTTCGAGTTCTATATGTCCTCCGATTGTGGGAATGTTGTCCATACTTTGCCAATCCTTGCCTTGACATCTGCGTCCGATCATCCACGTTTATTGACGATTTGTTTACGTACGTGAAACTATCCATGACTTCCAGAGTTTCTCCATCAAGTGTGATTGGGTTGTTGTTCTCCGTGTTGTATTTGAGGATCTCATCTTTTTTGTATATGTCGAGGCCTACTGATGCAGAGGCTGACGCTACACTAGTTGTCATCATTTGCATTTGTTCGTGTGTATAGGATAGGAGGGCTAGGTCATCTAAGAAGTGCAAACTGTCAAATTGGTTCTGAGCTATCTGTTGTATTCCATGCTTTCCTACAGATGTCGAGGTCTTCATAATCCAGTGGACCATCAGAAGAAAGAGAAAAGGAGAAAACAAATTGCCTTGTCTGATTCCAGTCCTTACTTAAAATGCACATGTCAGCTGTTCTCCATGTACGACTTTGCACTATAGTCCGTCGTATGAATTCCAGATAATGTTGACGACTTTCCCAACTACTCACACCATAGTATCGAAGAAGTTTCCATAATATTCTCATATCCACACTGTTAAATGCTTTCTCATAATATTTATTAAGGCCTGTTAATTTAGTTATTTTTACTTTATTATGAATTAAGATTTGAAAGAATTGTGTTTCATTATATCAACGATTTACAATGAATTAAATGAAATCGTTTAGTTTCAAAAAGCAAATAAAATAAATCATTTTTGCCAAAGTTTTACTCAATGCTTAGAAGAAACTATTATGACTGATAATTATATATTATCAGAAGGGGTTTTGTGGAGATTTTACTAATTTCACTAGTTTAGATCATGAGTCAATTGAAGCTAGACCATCATGGAAAACCTGGAAGCACTGTTGAGAAGTCCCATACTAGGACAAAATGGCCGTCCAATGCTTCCAGGTTTTCCATGGTGGTCTAGCTTCAATTGACTCATGAATTCAATTATTGTAATTATATATTACACAAAAGCTTCAATGAGTGCAAAGTGTAAATTCTAAAATAATTACTAGTGTTTATAATTGTCTAAAAGAGTCATTTACAATAATTCAGATTTCTTTCCTCAACATTTATTCATAAACTGATTTATTTATATATTTATATGTTGCTGAATAAAACTATAGAATAGAAGTTTGCTATTACAATTTCAGATATTCATATAATTAATATCAATGAATGTGTTTGTTCATACACAGATTAATTACATCTTAATTTTGTTGCAGATTATCGTTATAGCGACGGAAACCGTTTCGTCAAGCAAATTGATTTGATTTATTAGCTCAAATTTTATTTTTGACATAGATACACTGGCACATACATTGTGTTTGGCGGAAAGTGTTCAATGTCTCTATTGTCTCATGAAGGTGTGCTACAGGGAGCTGTTTTTTCCCCTATTCTTTTCTCTTTTTTCTTCATGATCTTACACAGAAAACACTCTTGTGAAATATGCGGACGATCTCACTGTATGTATGCTGATTTCTACCTCTTTACATCCTATAGAAATGAATGAGTTTTTGTCTCGTATTGAATGGTGGTGTATTGTTGATTTTCTTATACTTAATCCGTTTAAATATCAAGCTATCAACTTTAGATTGAGGCATGAAGAGCACTTAAACACCATGTTGGGGTCCCATGATGCTTGTGGCGTTAGAGACTTTGATAAACACAGTGTCGAAGGTCAATTATCTTGGTGATACCTTATTCTCTGATCTCTCTTGATTTTCTCATGTTTTACTGGTGGTGGTCTAGCTTCAATTGACTTACGATCTCAACTATTGAAATTGGTTTATTCTTTGACAAAATAAAACAATCATTTATGTGCTAAAACATTTTTTCAGTAAAAGAAAAAAAACAAAATCAAATCATTATCTTGAGCATGATATTTCAAACAAATTGTTAAACGTCATGCAAACTCCTGGCAGGTGTAATCTTATCAGATACTAACCACCCCTTTCATTCATATCTTTCACCTTGTACATCTTCTGGCAGAACGAGACGTCAATACATTAAAATCCATGCACACAAACAAACGTATAATAGTTCTATAATACCTTACCTAGCAAACATACTCTGTGACGAACAGGTTGTTATGGTCAGCCTAGTCAATAACCTTTATTCTTAAACATGTCTATAAATAAAAATTGTGCAGATTCAGATCTTTTTACACCTTTTTCTCTTTGTGGCTTTTGTTTTTGTAAAAGAAACTTGTTGAAATACCTCGTGCTGAGAATTCTATATTGTACCAAAATATAATATTGAATAAAGCCATTATATATATATATATATATATATATATATATATATATATATATATATATCACTTCATAAAGTATACTTTTTTTATTTTCAATTAGATACCTGTGCATGAGCTAGATTATGTGAACCATAAAGCAAATGATCACATGTTTGGAAAACAATATGTCGGACGGTATCCTACAGATGGTAACTCAAGATTTGTAGAATCAGATTATTCAAACTTTTATCCAATGACATTCAAGCGTACTCACGTTAATCCTATTTTATTCAAACGTAATTTCGATCCAATTGTATTTAAACGTTCATACTTTGATCCAATTATTTATAAACGATCATATTTTGATCCAATTATTTATAAACGATCATATTTTGATCCTATATTATTTAAACGTAATGAGAATCGTCAGTTGGAAAAACGTGAATATTTTGATCCGATAATTTATTAAAATCATTAAAAGGAAAAAAAAGAAACTAATTATTAAATGAAAGCACAATGTAATCAATGAAAAATGTATTGAAAAAAAATATAAATATTTCTGAAGATTGGGTTTAAAATGTTGAACTATTTTGTTTTATTGTTTACTGTAATGTTATAAAAAATGTGTACTTACGTAAGCCATTTTTGAAATTTGATTTAAGTAGAATTAATTGGACACATAAAAGTTTTTCCTTTCATATTAATGAATTTGAATCTATATAACTTCAATTAAAACTTGCACTAGATATGATAATATTGTAAGTTAACTGGTAAGGTTAACCACTCACTCTTATTATAATTGATATACTGACAAAAGTTAGAATTTCAGATCAATGAAATATGGGGGGAATTGTTTACTTTATATTGTCTTTCGTCAATCGGTAACTAAACACTAGGTCTGGAATTCTGGACATGAATCCTTGAGATATAAAATTAACTAATATACGACATTTCAATAAGTTAGAAAAGTAACCTACATTGATAGCGTTCAGGTTACTTTTAGGTTATTTTTAGATTATTTATGATGTGTGATGATTCATTACAATTCCTTAGGTTTAATTAATCTATACAGTAGAAGTTCTCAATATGTTCAACCGAGTTTCGTTTTATAATTATTTACCAGCGGTAATTAAGTTTTCTTTAAACATTTGGATAAAATGAATTTCATAAATACCTTCTTTCAGTTTTTGAAAATCGAGTTGAGTTTCATGTGAATTCTCGCTTGTTTACTTTCATGAAAATTAATGTTTTTTATAACTAATTTAGTGTATTTATAAATTTTTAGTTAGCAGTAAAAAGGGCTAATCCGTGTTAATCCTGTAACATTCAGATCAATATACAAATAATTCAGATAAAGCAGTTGGAATATAGAACTTTCATGATGGATTATGAATATTTTTAAATGTATATAAGCGACAATTTATAAAATTACTAAGATTCAAAGGACGCCGAACAGTTGTGATATATATATATATATATATATATATATATATATATATATATATATATATATATATTTCAAACAGTATTTAAAGATGATGTTCTGAACAGTTTAATTTATGGCACTAAATGTATGTGTAAAGTATGCTTAAATCTTCTGTATATATGTCAACTAAGTAGGATAGAATTTGATCATCTGAATTATTATTATTGTTTTATGATAGCTTGTAACAGTCATCTTTTCGATGAAAATCATTAAAGCTAAGTGTGACCCTGAATTATTTATAAGTGCCAAAATTAAGAAAGTTTTGAGATACATGCTAACTAAGCGTTAATTATAATGATAGTCTATTTCATGAATGAATACTTCAAGTTATACGTATTTCATTACTAAGACTACTTTATCAATGGGATAAACAAGAATTTTAATAATTTGAATTAGCGGATAAAATAAACGAAATCCACTTGGAGAATTTCAAAAGAGAGTCCTGGAAAGTTATCGTCATGCTTCGTGTAACCACAGAAATTCTTTTTGAAATTAATTACAATCACCTGATAAATCTCGGAAACTGGGGTAGTGTTCCAGCAGCAGTCTATAGTAAGTATCGTATGATATTAACAATTTGATGGTTGGAAGATCATTACACTTAAACAAAGTGGTATGTTTGTCTTCTTGATTTCGGGTTTTAAACTTCAAATCAAGTAACGTCACTAGCTTCCGCTATAGTTATCAGTTTAAAGGAAACCTCACTTTTCTGTTGTATGATTGCCTTCACAAGCACTTATTTCGTTATTAATTCTGATGTTCTAAATGTGTAAGAAGGTTTGTAGCTTAGATAATTTGGTATACTCTAAGCCACACAATAGCAATCAAAGATTTGGAATAATATCATCTTACCAAATATTTTGTTTGCTCAAACACTCAAATCTGAACATTCTACTTAACTGTAATATTTCACAAAAGATTTTGATTGACTTCGTATACTCTCTAAAATGGTCGAACCAATTATCCTCGATCAAATAATGCTAAATGATTGTATATTAATCTGAAAGTTGTCTATTTCATTTTGAGCAGTTCATTATTTCACTGTACATATTCTTCCTTGAAACAATTTAAGACAACGGAGGTGTTTTTTCTGACAGTTACATATAATCTTTCATTTTGTTTTAAGTTAAAGACAAAAGAAATAATCAGGATACTTTTTAAAATCATTCAGATAGATGAACTAAATTTATGGTATTTGAAACAGTTCAAATGAGTTGTTTGAAAATTAATGAGTAGATTAAATTTTATTAGAATAGTCACGCTAGTTATCACATGACTTTAGATGAAACAAATCCACTGATATGCTGTTCTTTAGTGAATAACTAATTCAAGTAGTGATTTTCAACATAACGGCCGATCCTCTTATTTCTAAATTCTCTGGATGATCAACTGATTCACTGAAGTTTTTTTGTCTGATAATTAAGATATTAGAAGACACGTATGTACTCGAAATACCTTTATTCATTCTTCTTGATTTTGAATATCATTCAGTTGAATGGACTAACTGATTGTTTATGAAATTAGACACATTGTAACATTTTATTAACCATCTAATTCAATTTAGATTTTTAAAAGTGAAAAATCCATGACAGGTAGAGACAGGTATCTACTTCAGTACAATGGAAGATGGTCGCGCAATTTCGTGGATTGGATGAGATTAAACATTAGCACCGTTGGATGCCGACCCAGTAGTTTAGAGATTAAGCGTTTGCGTGTGAGACCGTAAGTCCTTAGTTCGAATCCCGTAAGCGTGCTCGTGGATGCGCACTGCCGATGAGTTTCATGCTGGGACGAAATGATCGTTCAGTGCTTCCAGGTTTTCAGTCATGGTCTAACACCAATCGATTCATAATTTTAATGAAAAATATTTACTCCTAATTATATGTTTAAAGGCATAAATCAGTATTTCCATCAAATTTAACTGCTCAAAAATATTAATGAGTTTTGTATTAGTTAAAATATAAGCTCAATAATAAGTAACTAATTTGTGACTAGTAAATACATAGAAATATAAATTGAATGGGAATATTGATCTCCATCTGATATATTAATAAAATAAATAAAAATGATTTAGATTACTTATTTACAATGTCAACGATGACGTAATTTTGTCCTACAATTATCACTATTATAGTTTAACGTCATAATTTTGAATAAACTAAGTACTAGATAGATTCATTAAAAAAGTAATTTATGTACTGATATAAAATTTAACGTTCATAATTAAGTCTGGTTTGTTGTCTACAGACGTAACTATATATTGTAGAAAAAGCCACTATACTAAAGAAAATTATTTGAAGCATGTGAGTGAATAAATGGTATTTTAAAGAAACCTTATATCTACGATATATCCTTATTCAACCGTTAAGAAAATGAAAGTAAATTGGTTCAGTGAAGAAACATTTCCGACAAAGTTATTTTCTTGGTTACATATGAACAAATAATGGAAAGTATATTATATTCAAACAGTTGCCAATTAAGTGTTAAATTATATTGGGTAACAGAAACAGATTCATCAATTATGGAGAGATTAATATCCATATTATAAATGAATAATGATTACAACGAAATTAATAGACATCCTAATAAAATTGTTAATATGCTCCATTTCACGATAATAGGATGAGGAACAACTAAATATAAACGTTTTGACTCAATAATATAACTGATAATATTTTGATTATGCGTAAACTACTAATCCAAAAAGACTCAGTTATCAATTTTGCTTTGCCGTGATGCTTTGCATGTGACACTAAAGAATCCGGGTTACAACGCAGCGTGCATGGTCGTGGATGCTCACTGCTGAGGAGTCCCATACCTGAACGAAACGTCCATCCAGTGCTTCCAGGCTCTCATTGGTGGTTAAGCTGGTGATTTCAACTGTATAAATACTACATTCTCCAGAAATCCCCTATACTGATTCATAAATATTTGTTACACCGTTCCACTTTTCCTATCTGATTTGTACTCAGCTGGTCAATTTTATCTTATTTTTTAAGAATTATGTAACTATAACATTTATATCACACTTCTAAATAATTCAGTTTCTATTTTCTTAGTTTCTATTACCGAATATTCATTTATTTAATCCATGAGTATTTACACTATATTACATATTAATCGCTTACAGTTCTTTCATGATTATTGCTCCTTTCATTGGTTGTCATCAATGAGAACTTTAGCGATATTATGACATAAATTATGCGAACCGGTCTCCATGGATTAATACCATTATGTTTAAATTGCAAATAGCTGATGATAAACCGCGGAAGATACTCAATTTATGTTATTCTGCTACATTAATTGTCCTTGTTTTAGAAAAATTCAATTTTCATGTGGAGAATCTCATTAGTTTTGATAAGTTTAGTAATAATGAACTACACTTCTGACTATTAAAAGTCATTATCAATAAGGGTAAACTAATCTTCGCTGATATCAAAAGGATAGTATAATTCCATTTATAAATGTAAACATAACGAGTAAACATTTGGAATGAGTAAAGGATTAATAGTTGTTCAATAAATATTATAACACTTTCAAATCGATTAAATCTATGAGTTTACAATTTAATGATTTGCAAATATTAAAAAAAAGAGTGACTTGTGAATAACTAAGTACGATTTTGGAATGCTTTTGACATCATTTGGTGAAATGTTTTCGACCAACTTGTTCCGTATAGGTATCTGATAGAATTTATGATTCACTTTACTTAGGTGATGTAAAGTATTGTTGAAGATTTTGGTTGATGAAGGAACTTGAGGGTAATTAGATTGAATATGGGTGTTCCATCAGTATTATTCAGCTTTGCAATCTATGTCGTTTTGTGAACTGTATTTTGCAAGGGTTACTAGCTTTAACCTCGTATGTTGTTTACAATGCAGAGAAAACCGTTGAAAGCCTACTTTGTGTTTAATTCGAAATAACTTCGTTTTCTTTCAAACATTCATAAAAACTAATGGTGTTTTCAGTCTTTTCAACAAATG